AACAAATAATGAAAAATTATTTGCAATAATAACTGAGCGATCCGTTTTTCTACCAAATCATTACATTTGTCATTCCTCTTTTATTCCTGTAATCAACTCATTTCTCTCTCAGTGCACCGTATAATGAAGCGTTAAATCGGTAAACGTTGAAATTCAGAAATCGGTTAATGCTCTGCGAAGGCTCAAGGCAACAGGTGCGCGAAATCACACGGCCAGATGAATCTGTATCCTTTCTAGATAACTAGAGCCACAAATCTGTCATCTGTCTTCATTTTCGTGCTTGTACTTTCACGGATGAAGATTTGCAAATTCAAAGCATATATACAAAATCACTAATCCATTGATCGAACATATCGAATCCTTTGAGACCAGTAGATGTAAGGATATATTTTACAGACATAGATATGCACACGTATCAAATGCATATCGTGTAATAAAAATTCTCTTTCATATTTTTCTAAAAGTTTTCCTAGACAGTTAAACTGCTAACAGAGAATATTTTGGAAATTTGTGAAAATTATTGCTTACCGAATTATCGCAAATTATCTTACTATCATCGAAGAAACTGCTCTTCCAAAATAACAATAAGATCTCAAATAATACTTTCTGGGAAACTGTTCAGAAAAGCTCTCGCGAAAATGGAAGCGACAGCTCTGGCGAGAATGTAACAGGTCAAAGAAGTACTTGCCATATTACGTTACCTCTTAGTCTCGAATATATGCTCCAATGAAATATTTTGTTTATTTTCTCAAGGCTTCCTTTCCCCATTTTCTTTTATGTTCCTAATTGTAGCCAGCGTACCATGTGTTTCGGTACCCATGATAATTTTGCTCTTACAATATTTTATTTTTCATTATAATCATATCAGTGTTCCTTTATTGTGTACTTCAGCTTCTTTTCTTTGTGCAACTATTTATCCAAACAATGCTCGTATAATTTCTATTATCTCAATTATTTTAATATACAGAATGATACAATAAAAATGTTTAATTGGCTCAAAATATGTAATAGTTTTTTGTAAATATACAATTTTAGTATATTGAGTTTAATTATAACTTTTAGTTAAATACTAATTTTTTAAAAATGTCAACCGATTGTCAACTTTTAATAATTTTGGAAATTAAAAAAAATATGTTTAAGTTATTATTTTCTTTGAAAACAATGAATTTAAACGCTTTTAAGACAATTAATGTCAAAAATAAATAATATGATTTTAGAACTTCCTTTCCAATTCAAGGATATTCGGTTATTTCAAAGTCGTTATGAAAACTGGCAAGAAATCAGCGTTTATGAATGTAACAGGTGGTCGAATTCAATTTATGATGAACCAGCTTAAACCACAGGAAATGCAACAGTTTTGATTAGACAAAGACAAACATATATGAAAGATGTGGAGAATAATAAATGGATTCGATTATTCGGAAAGTTGCTTCAACAGAAATAATGCCTCCGTTCTACTTATATTCTCTCTTACCAAAATGTTTAGTTTCCGTTAAAATATAATCTCCTTTGTCAAGTTGAAAATTCAATTAGAAAACTCGATTAATAATGTCATAACATAAACATAAAATGTCGCAGTATTAAAAGAATATTAATATTAACTCTATAATATAATTATATTACATTTTAATTTATAATTACAAAAAATTAAATTATATACGAATGGAATGTTGCATGTTGATGTAATTTAACAAAACTTTGCTTTTAATATGTGATAAACGAAAAGTTGCTAATGCAAATAGCTTGTATCAGTTTATAGTTTTGCTATCAAACTGTATCAAGATAAATAGTAATACAACTTGATGTAGCATGAATTTCGAGGAACGGTTTATCTCTGTGAGTTAGGACGATCTTGTCGCTGATGTATTCGCTGACCTAAACTATCAGCTTTGCTGGAAGGCACGTTCCGCTCTTAAACAGTAACTTTGCTGGAATGATTAACAAGCAAACAATTTGATCTGGGCGAGAAACGAAATATTTCATGTTACTTTAACGTAAATTCAGACTCTAACTTTGTTACTGCACTGCATTTCAATTTCTCACCGAGGACAGAAAGAGATAGAGAAATAGAAAAAAAGAGAGAAAGAGCAATTCGGATAGAATTGCACGAATACGATACGAAAGCGATCGAGTAAAATATCAAGAATGTATAGAATCCGGAAAATGTTTATACACATTGTGCTATAAACCTTGATATAGTAGTACATTTTGATGATAAATTTTTTAACAAAGTTAAAACAAACTTTTATGTAAAAACAGATCAATAAGAAATTACAACGTTTTAACATTTAGTTCTTAATGCAATATATAATAAAGTTGCTATTTAAGATTTTAATATAAAAATTTTGATATATGTACACATATATATAAATATACACACACACATACATATATATTATACATATATATACAATTAAAAGTTTTAATTAAAATCTTGAAATAAAAAAGGATGTTTTTCAAATTTGTATATGGTTACTTAAAAAGTAAAACTTTCTACAATTTTAACTATTTAATTTAAAAGTTATTACTAAAATATCAGTTTGATAGAGAATAAATTATAATAATAAAAAAAAGCATCAAATAATTATAATAATACAAATATCAAGTATATGTACTATATGTATACAAAATATATCTATTGATATATTTATAAATGTATAATATATATAGATATCAAGTATATCTATATATAAAATGTATCTCAAAAATAGATAATAGATACAGACGACAATGTGTTTCGAACATCAATATCACGCTGACATATTTGTTAAAGGCATTACGTCCGGTGTAACAAATATCGACAAGGTCGTAATAGCCCATCAAGAAAAATTATTTCACGACGCTGTTTTACTGCACTAACTCCCATCAATGTAACGATAATATTTTCTTAATGTCGTAATAATCGACGATTAATAGAGGCTTAATTGATATCATCTAGAAATTAAACTAACTCGACGATGTCATGATAATACTACAGACTTGCTAAGGAAATTTGATAGTGCCAATCGGTAATCAATTTTTGCACGTATCGATCTTCCGGATATCAACCTCACCGCTAAAGTTACTGAAAGCGCTATACATATTCTCTATTCGCGTAAGCCAGCGTTATTATAAAACACAACTCTAGACGAATAGGTGTAAATGACTTTCCCTTTTGCATTCTCATACTGGCTCATCGAACTCGAGTCAAGTCCTCGTGGTAGAGCCATGTCGACGTCATAACTATAGCCGCTCTATTTTTGCTTATCTCGACTCCACTGGTCTTCTCCCCTACTGAATCTCTCTCGCACTCGTGTATTTCTGGCAAGGCTTCTCGCGAAGTGCACACATACGTGAAAAGCAAAGAAACACTGTTCGAAATATTTCGATTAAATCTATTTTCGTTCTCGTTCTTTTCCTATGTAAATTGTGATGAAAAGTATTATAATGAAAAGGATACTGTCCAAATGCGAACTCTTACGATACTATTGTGTATTTAAAAACTTTACAGAATTTTATCTGAGCGTAAGAAAATTAATAGATTAATTAAGAAATTTATGTTGTTTTTCTCAATGTATAATTTTATATCATCAGCAAAATTAATTTTTTATTTATTTTAAATAAATATTCGAGGCATTCTATTCAAACTTTATTTTAAAACGTAAGCATAAAGAAGTTTAGTTAAATTAGAAATTTATTAACAGTTACGGGACACAAAGTACTTCAATCTCTTATAACTTATAAAACAGTTTTAAAATTTAAAATTTGAAAGAATACTCAATCTCTGAGATACACCACCTAATTTGGATAAAATTACTCGCTATGTATTTAAATTACGTGTTCAAATAATATTGGCCCTTTTGATTATAAAATAACAGCAAATTTCATCGATGCATAAATAAATTTCATTAAACAATTGTAATTGTAAATAGAAATATGTAACCATTAATCCATTGTAAACAGTATTTTATTAATAATTTAATATTACAAAACAGTTCAATCGATAATCAATTTGTCTGAAACCATGCGTCATCGTTATGAAACTATCGAAAAATTCAACAATTGTTTTACCCACATTCCAATACTTTCATGGAAAATTGAGAATGTTTATACAATATTAGCTGCTGTCAATAATTTTCACCGCAAAAGAGCGAAGTGTATACACTAAAAGTTTTATATTGCTTTTACTGTAAATTAAGCGAACGTCGATAGTCTATGAAATGTTCGGAAAATCAACGAGTAATAAAGAATTTAGGAAATATTTAAAGATATACAAAATTTAATATACACACACATATATATATATATATA